AAAACAGCAAGTGCTGTATATTTTCATCAGAAAATATTGATAAGGTATTATTATCCATGTTGTTTGGGGTTTTCTTCCACTGTGACTGTACAGATTTGGTGCTGCACGCACAGTTAAAGGGCTCCACAGCGCTTTCTGCCAGAGTGGTGGTGCAGAGGTAGCCCATTTTCCCATCAATGTTTTATGTAACCATTTTTTTTTTTTTGAAAATCGATACTAAGAAGTGAAAGATCGATATTATATTGGGCAGCAAAATATCACGATATATCGCCAAAACGATTATTTCCCACACCCCTAAATGGGACAGATAGCTAGGTTTACTTGGCATGTACAACAGACAAAACGCATAAAGTAGCATTGTTTAATCTAAGGAACAATTGAAGTTTTGGCATGTACGGCAATCAGTGCTTTTTTTTTCCTTTTAATAGTGTTCATTTTGTGAATTTATTTGCATTTTTTCTTTTTTAACTTATAATGTCCATTCATTCTTCCTTTCATTCTCCATCTGCAGTCATATGTTTGCAAACAGGGAAGCATACAGGCAAATAAATGTTGCTGCAAACCCTGTGAAATGATTTGTATAGTAATTGGTCTGGGTGTTTGCAAGAATATCCTTGGTGGAGGGTAGAGGACAATGAGGCTTGGATTCCAAAAAATGCTTAGAAATCATGTTGTATAACAGATTCCAATGAGATTTAAGCACTTAGGGCTTGATCTTCAGAGGATTTTTAGATCTTAAAACAAGTGCTAACATGTTCATAAGCACAGAGCAGATCTTCAAAGAAGGTGCAAAATGATTTGTGTTTGCAATTAAGGAGATAGCTTGTGCGTTCACCCATATGCAGATCATTTTCTAATCACCAAATCGTTCAAATTGGTGGGTGGAGTATATGCAAATGTAAACATTTTCCATATGCAAAGTGATTGTCCAAATCAGACACTGAACTCTTGCAGGAGTTTTTGCTTTTTTTTGTACTCTTGAACGTGAGGTGCAAAGTACAAAGCAAAAATATTTGCAGTCATTGTTCACCCAAGGAGGCATTGCTACAAAACCAGATGATTGAGAGAGGTCCTGTGTGAATGTAAGCATATTTGGACCCTCAAAAAGAAAATACATCTAAAGGCTGGAGCACATAAAGCAGTTGGATGGCACACAATCTTTATACAACTAAACCAAATAAAAAACAAATCAATGAACTTTCTTATTGTGGCAAGTTTATAGAAAAGTAAGTATTATTTAGTATTAACTTTATACATGTACATACATACACATACATATATGTATCTATATGTGTATAAATAAAATGAGAAATTGAGTATCTTTACTGCTAAAATAAGATAATTGAATATGATATACCTGAAATAAGAGGCTGAAGTAGTTTTTCCTTATTTTAAATGTAAATTGTTTTATTCAATTGGCAAACCATCTCACTTACCTGCTCAATTCAAGACAATTTAAGAAAAATTGATTTAGATTTCAATTTTTTGCAGTGTATTATAACTTCCCAACATGTATATCAAGCTCTTAACCAATTTGTGCATATCAAAATAACACTTACTACTTAATATGCCATTTTTGCCAATTTGTCTGAGGGCCAGATAAATTACTGTGAGGGGCTGGATTGAATTGATACCTGTGCTTTAAGGGATTTCAATACCTCATTGTGTCTCTTTATGTGGACCAGACAGTAAACCAGATGTTCTAGACAAGATAGACACTCTTGATAAACAAAACAAAACAAAAAAACTAAATCAACAGAAAATTAGTAATATATTTTCATTGCAGAAAAAAAGACAAGATATTGACACAATTGTGATAAAAATTAATTTAGGGTTAAGGAAAATCTAGTGATGATTAGTGCCAAGAGAATCTTAATGTTAATCAACCTCTCAGTAATTTGATCTTAAGAAATATGAAGTTCCTTTGTTTGCAGCGATTTAGATGTCAGAGCTTCAAGAGCATTTTTGTTTTTATCTGGAAAACTTTATATCTGCCACAAATAAGTTATTTCATTTTCAGCACATGTACATTTAAGTAAGACAAGTCTGTTTTGGCTGAATACCTTGAAAAGCTTAAAGATAACTAAGATTATACATTTTAACATAAAGCAGTGTTTCTTTTATCTCAGATTTAATCTGCCTCTAAGCTATACTATAGAAGCTATGTTTCTATGAAATACAATTGCTCCAGGAACAGATCACTCCTGTTTTTGAATGAAATATTTTTTAAGAAGCTATACTACTAAATTTATTATGTTTGACTCTTTTAAGTTTAGCTGGTATGTCACTAACACCCTATGCTTTTCGCCTTAAAAAAACTTTGAAGTGTTGAAGTGACCAAATAAATAAAAATATGTCAAGACTATTGGGTGATCCTAAATCCCAGGAAGCTATCACTGCACCACCGTGATAAGAAAGATATAATAGGCCAAAATATTTGAGAAATAACTAATGCATTTATTGCAGATGTATTTCCGAAAGTATAAGTATGATTTTAGGTCAAAGACATAGTTAAAAAAGATTCAGACCATCATTTGCCAGAACTTGAGTTTTCTTTAGCTTCCTGCTAAATCACATCAAAACAGTGCAAAAATTTTATTTTTATTGGGACTCCTTTGAAGAACTGGATTTTATTGCTTCATAGTGATTTGTCACAAAGGGCATTCTCATTTCTCAACAGTTCTTACCAATTAATCTTTAGCCCCTGTTGTGCTCAGTTGCTTTCTTCTCGATAGCCTACAGTCAAATTCTGTGTTTATGTTGTAAAAGGTCTTTGTACTCCATGGATGTTCATCAAAATAAACAACCATCAAACCCTCAATATCCCAGAGCATTATTCCCATAAAGGTGCATAGGAGAAACAGTTGTAACCTTCAAGCACTATGATTCTAAGGCTTAAACACTCATAGGGCCGGATTTATCAAGATCCAATTTTGCGTGCAGTAATTTGCGCTCGCAAACTGGAATTTTGCGCGAGGGGCTGAACCATGGTTTGAGGGTGATTTAACAAGAGCGATTGCGTAACTGGTGGCAGGTGCAAAACTGTTGAAGACGCCCTATTTAAATGATAGTTTTGCGCGTTTTGTGGTTTGCGGCAAAGTAGTTTGTAGTTTCCACAAACTAGTGCATTAAGAAATTTAAATCTTACAGTGATATATAAAGAAAAAACTTTGGCAATCTTTATTCCCTAAGGTGGTATGTGGCTGAATTTCTACTTCACTGCAGTAAAAAACAACAACAACAAAAAACAGGTGTTTTGTATTGGCCTGTAGAAAAATGCACATACCAAATGGCTCACAAGAAGTGACTGTGGATGAGATTACGCATCCCCGCAGCATTGGCATGTTGCTCCACAGGCGCAGGGGGAGAACCCCGACCCCGTCGGACAGCACTTCTGAAAAACGAGATTGGGAGATCCCAGCTCTCGCTGCAACCGTACGCTGGAATGACCCAGATGCAAAAAAGTGCAACATTGCAAGGAGTTTTGTGATATCTGGTATTGCGTGGGTCCTCCTTGTGGCTGGCTCCAAATCCATTCTGAGTTCCACCAACAGCTCCAAAATGGCAATGCTGGATAAACGATATGTTTTGATGATCGTTTCCTCGTTCATTCCAAAAATATTCACACAGAGTGAAAAAATGCGTTCTCTGCGTCTCCTTGCTTCATTTCGATGTCTCCTTCTTGCCACAATAACCGCTGCCATGTGTGCGCAATTACGCATACAGACCATTTGCACCTTCTTTTGAAACGTGTTAAATATAGAGTCAGATACCGTCAGCAAAATTGTTTTTAGGTTTGATAAATCACTTTGCGAGTGCTAAATTAATATATTTACATGATCTCCTCCCACAAGACGCACTTTTGCGTGTAAACGCCCCATATTGCATATTCATTGCAGAAAAAGTACTAAATGGATAAGAGGCGCTGTTTAGCACGTTTTTTTACAGACCAAATCCTTTTAGCACGCTGTTGATAGATCAGTTTGTACATTTTTTAGTGCGCGCAGTGAAATAGCTCACGTTTTTATACACGCAAACCTTTGATAGATCCGGCCCATAGTATCTTTAAGCTCAATAGAATGTAGCTAAGCTCTATACACATTTTCTGTAGAGAGTTTTGACACAATAGCTGTGGTTGCACAGACTCAATTCCTTGATTGGATTGAATGTGTTTGGATTAAAAGTAATCAAGCAACTTGAGTACAGTTTTATATGGGTTTAAAATAAAATAATCCAATCATGAAATGCCTTTACTTATAGATTGGTTTATTCAGAATAGAAGAACAGAATAGTAAAATCAGAAACAACTGCATACGTGTTGAACTTCTTACTACTGTATGCAAAAAAAAAAAAAGAAAAAAGAAGAACAGCAAAACCTTGGGTGGTTTAGCTGTTTTTTAGCTGTTTAGAGCTTGCAAAAGTGACTTCCATCAGGTTTTAGTTTAAGTTCAAGTTTAGGCATTTTTCCTTTCCATATTTAAGCTACAGGCTCAGCAATTGAATGAGTGTTGGATGGATACTGTTCAGAAAATGGATCTGTATAAACTACACCTCTCAGTTAGAGTACAAATACTTTCTACATGAGCTAAACCGAAAACATAATATTCCAATTGGATTGTTTACATGGCTCATTTTAGAAAGGAGTTTTCATCAGCTTAATTAAGAGTAATTTAACTTTATTTCACCCTCAGAGAGGGTAAAATTAAGATGAGAACACCTTTTCCCCACCTACATGAAAGACAAGATATACATATTTGTGCACTTGTACTGTCCTTCTAGAAACAACAAACAATACGTACCAGAAAAAACCTATGAGATGCCTTCCAATGATACCTTATTATCAATGGCTGTGATGTGAAGGACAACATATAAGACAACATAAAGAAAGATAACGAAGAAACCAAGGTCCAAGAGAGTTTTTTTTTTGTGAGTCCCAAGAAAATGATAAGTCAAAAGGGGCAAAATAGATTTAAAAACAAAAATCCATAAAGCACACATACCTGCTGTGAAGTTGTAACTTGCTGAAAATCCCACCCCTTCCAGTTCTCCATCGGTTACAAATTTTATCCACAGGTATCGGCCGCTACTCCTAATATCGGGAGGGCTGTGCTGACCGCAGTACCTCCCAAGCATTGGGGAAAAGCCAAATGGTCCATCGCGAACCTCAATGTTGTCAAATTTACATTCCCAGGAGGACTCGATTGAATAACTGTCCTCAAAGTGTAGATCAATGCACTGTCTTGGGGGAGCTGGAAACACATCAGAAACAATGTTGTATAAAATGTAATTATGTAGTTAATGTGGCTCTTAATTATTACTATTATACGTTTCAGTTAAAAACACATTTAAGGTCACTCAAGGACATTGCACATTGATAAAACCAATATTCTTATTGCTTAACCAACAAGGCTTAACATTCAATACTAAGGGGTAATGAGATCTGGGAGCTCTTCCAATATTACCACATTAATGTATTAATGTTTTTCGTAAAAGCAGTCTCAGGAAGCAGTATTTAGATAAGCTATGGTTATTTGTTCTGAATTTAAAGGTGAGTTCTACAACACCAACAGCCTGTATCAACGTTTGAGGCTCTTATATAAACAGTAGTTCTTAAGTTGCCATACTGTATTGACAGTCAGCAAACAAAGACTCTTCATCCAGTTGACTAAAAATACTCGGATAGAAAAGCATCAAAAAAATCCTCAGCATAATTATATTGTATAAAATTCATTTTTAGTATGTGTTAGAAAAAGGAAACAGTGAAAACATACAAATACATTTTGATGCTAAGTATACTGTATATGTATAAGTTACATACTGTATATGTAAGATTGCTGCAACAGTGCTTATGTTGTCATCTGTAGTTAGTGTTTTTTTTTTTTTAGCAATCTTGCCTGAATTATCTTTAGTTTAAAATCTAAAACTATTAGACTGATCAAACCTCTACTGATTGATTATGTTCTATGAAAAGGATAGTAAATATTAATGAAATCTTCCCTTATCTCATATCTCATATCTTGTATCATATTTTTTGTCTCACAACACACTTATTCAGAATGCATTGATAGACCAGACTAAAGCTGAATAGTAGTTCTGTTTGGTAAAACATTTTATAACAAAAAAATCAAAAAACCGACAGGAACAAATAGTACGCCAATCAAGCGTCTCATTATAAAAACCATTAGTATGCTCCATCAGCGGAAAATAAATTTTTTTTTGTTTTCTACTGCAATGTGTGTAATGATTATATTCACCTTCAAGGATATACACACACTCTGTGTTTGGGGGGTATTTATTTGGATAATTGGGTGAGGTGAAGAGCCCTCCGTCTGCGTCTTTTACCCATGCTCCACACTGATCTGCAGGTTTCACTCCTGAATTGTTTTTCACTGAAGCAAAATACATACAAAAGAGATTATTCCTCAATGAATGAAGCTTTTCACAGAACAGAAATCAAGGGGTTAAACACAACACTTTTGATGTTGAGATTACCTGTAGCCATATCCTTTTTTGTTGCCCCAGAAAAGCCAAGCATGAGTAGACTTGCCACAACTGTAAGATTGGAAAGAGAAATGCATTTTTTATTGTTTAGTTTTATGTCTCTTTTTTTGTAGGTTTGAGTCAGCACAGTTTACATTCCTGATACTGTCACACATCAGCACTTTGGACATTTCTCATCTATTCTTCACTGCACTGTCTTGATACAAAAAAAACAAACAAATGCATTTTCCTAATAAATAAACAAACAAATAAACAAAGCAAATGTGACAGAATTACTCCAAATATGTTGATCACATTAAAGTAACTTATATTTTTCATGCTCACAAATTGAGCATGTTCATTTAAATTTTAATAATTAAAATAAATAAAAATACTTAAAAATAAAACATTTTGATGTGCAAAAGGTCTGTTTCTCTGATATCTATTCTTTTACAAATTTGATTGAAAGATAATTTGACTTTCTGTCTACAAGACACTATTAAGAAAAGCATTTATATATATTTATATATATATATATATATATATATATATATATATATATATATATATATATATATATATATATATATATATATACTTTGAAAATGTAAGAATGAGTAAGAAGGGCTTACCGTGAATGAAGCTGTGCCCATGTACCATGTCTGTTTCTTTCACAACCGACTTCAGACTCAACTAATTCCATTTAGATTAAGAAATTACTTGAAGAAAAAAAAAAGGCGAAGAGTTGCTTTTTTTGTTTTTCTTTCTTGCCAATTCACGTTTTCCTACAACCTTCCACAAGGCAAAACACCTTAGAAATGTGTTTAGTGAGGGAAAAACTTACAATAATTAATCACCAGTTTCATATAAAACCAAAAACAGTTCCGATTTCCATCCAAACGTTTCTAATCCTCGTTGGTGCTTTTGATGCACTGAAAGGATTAATAGTCCCTTCATCAGCCCTTCTCTAATCGCTCCACCTTTGCGATCTTAGGGGAAAAAAAGCCTCGTTTGTCCTCTTTGGTCCCTTTATCAGGAGCGCGGATGTTTCAGAAGCACGCCAGAACGCGCAACACTCATCTCTGCGGCGTTTTCCTCACAGGAGCCTTTAGCGGTGCGTAAAATTCTCCAGGAGAATAGAAAAAATAAGTAAATGCGTTGTATATCCTACATATTACATGGAATTATGTGTTTGTTTAGTTTTTTCCTAAGGAGGCTGTCTAAAGTGCTCCTCTCTGTATTGGCTTCTCTCAATTGGAGAGTCAGCAGAGGTACAAGCGTGATTTCCCTCCTCCTTTCCTGTCTTTGCCCTCCTTCGATTGGCAACCGCGGTTTAAAGGTCCAGTGCGTCTCGATCATCTCGCTCCTTTTCACGCAGGCGATTTGAACTTCTACAGGATTGCGGGATCAGCTGCACGCGCGAAAGAAATTTTGAAATGAACAAAACAAGAACGATGAAAATTTACGCGCTGCAGAAGTGAGCCCTACCGGTGTATGTATCCCACAAAGACGCATGGATATAATGCGGTAGATCAGTGTTTGGCACAAATATATGACTAAATAATATCCTTGATAAATAACAACATCGTTATTCTAATCAAAACTGAAAGGGATACACACAGGGCCGGACTCAGGGCCCTAAAAACACTGAGATCAGGAGTCAGTCATTTTTAAGTGGGTTCAGCTGTGTGTTCCCCAGAATATATTTTTAATCCCATTATTTAAATCTGGCCATTTCAGAGTCTTAAGAAGCAATACATTTATGATTTCTGAATAGGCTAGTCGTTGCATTTTTCTGTTCATCTTTCCCTGCCAGACATTTCAGTCATTATAAACTTGTAAACTTCATCTTTAGGTCATCTTTCTTTTGAAGCTTCTATCTAAGTTGTTAGAAGTGTGTCACAAACGACATTCCAGTATAAATGAAATAAGTTGCTTTATAAAATAGACACCCAAGCCATACTATATTATTATGTTGAAGATAGTACCTAATTTGTCCAGCTTTTGAACATATACATATACACAATATTTCAATTTACATGCAATAAATATTTGACTTAAAGCATATCAGTACATAAATTAAAACACATTCAGTTCAGGCACAGTATCTTCCTTTTATAATATGGTTACTGCTCTACCTCAGTCACTGTCTTTACTGCTCCTCTCAGCCTTTTCCTCTCTGTATTGTTGTTGATGAAGGTTCCCAGTCATCCAGGTCATAGTTATTCCGTAAAATATTACAGGGTAACGATGGAACCAGATGACCCATTCATCGGTTACCATTTGCATGTTTCCAAGCGATACAAAGGTTTGTCTATATAAGACTCAAACTCCCTGCGGATCCAGACATTTGAATTGAGAAAGCTTCCTGGAGAGGTGGCGAAACGTCTTCAAATCTTGGAAATCAAGTCCAGTGGATATTTTTTGAATTTTTACAGAATCTCTGTATTGTTTTTCTTTCAATTAAGAAAATCAACTCTGTCAAATACAAAAATTATAGAAATGAAAACAATATCCCACTTCAGCATCATGTTTTACTTTTCATAAAGGACAATGGTGACTCTTGAAGTAAGGGCAAGTTACCCCAGAAAATTATTTATTATTTTGAAAATTAACCGGATGCTTTTATTTTGTTTTTGTGCACAACTTCCTGTCCTCTGCGATCTGCTCTCTGTCGTCTTGGTGCATTGAGCTTCAGCACCCGGGAGATATATAAGAGAGTTTAGTGTCCTGAGAAACAAACACTGAATAAACGTTTAATTTTCAGTTCAAGACACCGCTAACATATCAATCATATAATGAATATTGATTCAACCAGTAAAAATTGACTGAAGATGAGGCTTTATAGAGTGTTCAAGGCTTTATAGAGTGGAGCAAAACATAAGCCTTGTTTTGTTTTGAAAACATGCATATTTAACTGGACCAACGGGTCCACCCCTTTAGAATGGGGGTTGTTTGGGTTCTGTGTTAACCTGCAACACCTGATACTACTCTCTGCCTCTGAAAAATGCGTCTTTAGGGGGATTTGTTGACCTGGCTAAACAGGAAAGATGTTCTTGTCCCACGGGGTTGGGGGTTGCTATGATAGCGGGAAGGAATCAACTCTATCGCTGCAGTGTAGCCTTTTAAGGTGTAGATGTACAGTTGTCCCGAGGAGGTAGCTCTCCTCTGTTGAGCCATGCACTGAACTGCATACACTAATCCACTCATATATGGTCAGGGGGTTTTGTCTTTAGGATGAACTAGTGTCTGTTGTTGGGTAGTGGCGGCCTGGTGGTTAGGGCATAGAGCTTGGAATCCAGAGGTTCGAGCCCCACTCCCGCAGACTGCCACTCTGGGTTCTGAGTAAGACCCTTAACCCCACACTGCTCCCTGGGAGTCCCAAGATGGCAGCCTACTGCTCCTCAAGGTGATGGGTTAAATGCAGAGATAAATATTTCCAATGTGAGGTTCAGTAACCATATGGTGTCTTATGGAAATATTTGATGGTAATACAGGGTAAATAGGCTCTTGGGAGTGGGTCAGACAAAGTTCAAAAAACCCTTATAATGACAACAAATGACAACAAAATTGAGTTAAGCCTTGTTGTGTGGTATGTCAGAACTGGGACCAAATCCCGGAAGCAGACCTGGGGTTGAGGATCATGAACAAGCTCCTGGTCAGGTTCCTCCTCATGGGAGCGTGGTGTGTCAAGACATAAGGAGTTATGTGAGGACAGGTGAGGTGAGTTGACATCCGTACGTTGTGTTCAAAGGTGCCACATAATTTAGTAGGTCAACCCTGTTCTGGTGTTCCTATAGCATGCCAAATCTTGAGTTGCCTTCTTGGAGAGGTAAAGAGCTTGGGTGGTCCTTCTTGTATCCTGTTTTTTGTTGGAGATCACCCCAGTGGATGAGAGTTTTACATTTCATGCGGAGAGGTTACTCTCCCTAGGTAACCTGGTCAGGAGCAGTTTCAGAGGAGTGTCCTCTGTCTCCGCATTCCTTAAAACCACTCATAGCATTTACAGTTGTGGTCAAAAGTGTACCTACACTTGTAAAAAATCATAATGTTATGGCTGTCTTGAGTCTTCAATAAGTTCTACAACTCTTATTTTTCTGTGATAGAGTGATCGGAACACATACATGTTTGTCACAAAAAACAGTCATAAAATTTGGTTCTTTCATAAATTTATTATGGGTCTGCTGAAAATGTCACCAAATCTGCTGGGTCACAAATATACATACAGCAACAACATTTGTCAACTTTGGTGATGTAGCGAGTTGTGTCAATCAAATTAGCTTCATGTCATGGCCTCTTCCCTTCTTCTAAGTGATTCTGATTGACTACAGCTGTTGACTTCTCATGAGCCCATTTAAATAGGGCTCATTTGACCCAGTGATTAGACTCAGCTACAAAAGCTACAATGGGAAAGTCAAAGGAACTCAGTGTGGATCTGAAAAAGCGAATTATTGACTTGAACAAGTCAGTGAAGTCACTTGGAGCCATTTCAAAGCAGCTACAGGTCCCAAGAGCAACTGTGCAGACAATTATACGCAAGTATAAAGTGCATGGAACAGTTGTGTCACTGCCACGATCAGGAAGAAAACGCAAGCTATCACATGCTGCCGAGAGGAGATTGGTCAGGATGGTCAAGAGTCAACCAAGAATCACCAAGAAGCAGGTCTGCAAGGATTTGGAAGCTGATGGAACACAGGTGTCAGTCTCCACAGTCAAGCGTGTTTTACATCGGCATGGACTGAGAGGCTGCCGTGCAAGAAAGAAGCCCTTGCTCCAGAAAAGGCACCTTTAGACTCGGCTGAAGTTTGCTGCTGATCACATGGACAAAGATAAAACCTTCTGGAGGAAAGTTCTCTGGTCAGACGAAACAAAAATTGAGCTGTTTGGCCACAACACCCAGCAATATGTTTGGAGGAGAAAAGGTGAGGCCTTTAATCCCAGGAACACCATGCCTACTGTCAAGCATGGTGGTGGTAGTATTATGCTCTGGGGATGTTTTGCTGCCAGTGGAACTGGTTCTTTGCAGAAAGTAAATGGGATAATGAAGAAGGAGGATTACCTCCAAATTCTGCAGGAAAACTTAAAACCCTCAGCCCGAAGGTTGGGTCTTGGGCGCAGTTGGGTGTTCCAACAAGACAATGACCCAAAACACACATCAAAAGTGGTAAATTAATGGCTAAACCAGGCTAGAATTAAGGTTTTAGAATGGCCTTCCCAAAGTCCTGACTTAAACCCCATTGAGAACATGTGGACAGTGCTAAAGAAACAGGTTCATGCAAGAAAACCATCACATTTAGCTGAACTGCACCAATTCTGTCAAGAAGAGTGGTCAAACATTCGACCTGAAGCTTGCCAGGACCTTGTGGATGGCTACCAAAAGCGCCTAGTTGCCGTGAAAATGGCCAAGGGACATGTAACCAAATACTAATGTTGCTGTATGTATATTTTTGACCCAGCAGATTTGGTGACATTTTCAGCAGACCCATAATAAATTTATGAAAGAACCAAATTTTATGACTGTTTTTTGTGACAAACATGTATGTGTTCCGATCACTCTATCACAGAAAAATAAGAGTTGTAGAACTTATTGAAGACTCAAGACAGCCATAACATTATGATTTTTTACAAGTGTAGGTACACTTTTGACCACAACTGTAATTTCCTGATTCAGTCAGGAGAGTTCTGTCATAGTTCTGTGCAAACACACACAAAAAAATTCAGTATGTTCATTTGACACATTACAGTAGCTGTTAAAAGCACAGACAAGGTTTGTCGGTTTGACATGCAAATTATTATTGCGCTCTCATCCAGTCGATGAGGGAAAAGCATTTATTTGCAGAAACTTAAATATTCGTCGCGATATGTGGGATACCGGATATAGATGTAATTTCCTATTCAAAACGTTTCATACTCACTGGCCCCTGTGATCCCACCTCACCAGGGGATTTGTTGTTCTCACCGGGATGTCATTCACTACCTCTGGAACAAGCAGTTCTGTAAACCAAAACACTTTGTACACAAAATCATTAGATTTAACAAGATTTGTCTAAAGATTTTCAAAATTAAAACTTAAACTAGGTCCATTATAGATGGCTATCAAAGTATTAACACATATTTCTATCTTTTTATCACAAATTAATTCAAATTAGCTTCTTTAGCTTTGTGTTTGTATTTGTAATTGGATGCAATACGTCAAAGCCAACCACAATAGAATACACTACCCCCATTCTCAGAGTTTTATGTACAAGTGTTATAAAACCTCCAAAGATAAATATAGAAAAGTATGCAGTTTTGGAATAAAAACTTTGTTGAAAAATCATAACAGCTTTCATCGTCAACAAGGAAATG